TTAAACCGTAAATCGAAAATATTTAACCATTACTAAATGCCGAAGAACTAAACAAAACATTAAAAAACAGAAAAGTTATAATTTTTTTTTCATTTATTTTTCCGATTGTTCCTATGGGAGCTATATGCTATAGTCGTCCGATTTTGATGAAATTTAAAACGTAAATCGGAAATATTTAACCATTACTAAATGTCGAAGAACTAAACAAAAAATTAAAAAACAGCAAAGTTATAATTTTTTTTCCTTTATTTTTCCGATTGTTCCTATGGGAGCTATATGCTATAGTCGTCCGATCCGGCTCGTTCCGACTTATATACTACCTGCAATAGAAAGACAACTTTTGGGAAAGTTTCATGCAGATAGCTTTAAAACTGAGAGACTAGTTTGCATATAAACGGACGGACAGACGGACAGACGGACATGGCTAGATCGACTCGCCTAGTGATGCTGATCAAGAATATATATACTTTATAGGGTCGGAGATGTCTCCTTCACTGCGTTGCAAACTTCTGACTGAAATTATAATACCCTCTGCAAGGGTATAAAAACAGCAAAGTTATAATTTTTTTTGTATTTTTTTCCGATTGTTCCTATGGAAGCTATATGATATAGTCGTCCGATTTTGATGAAATTTAACCCATAATTCTGAAATATTTAACCATTACTTTCCGTCGTAGAAATAAAAACAAAATTTAAAAACAGCAAAGTTAAAATTTTTTTAAATTTATTTTTTCGATTGTTCCTATGGGAGCTATATGCTATAGTCGTCCGATCCGGCTCGTTCCGACTTATATACTACCTGCAATATAAAGAAAACTTTGTCGCCAGTTCGAATATCTAAGTTTCCCGCTCCTGGATTTGTCTGCATACTGTTTCCCTTTTTCTTTTTTCAGCAGATCCCTGTATTATTCCTCTGAGTCTGCCATCTCGCCAACATGCTAGGGATTTTATCCGTAATGCTGGGGATTTTATCCCTAATCACCCTGTTCAACATTAGCTCTGTCGGTGGAGCGCCTTTGGTACCGTGTGGAGTAACATTGTACATCAATACGAATCTCTGGATTTCTTTATTGTAGCTGTCGTTATTCCCGTGAGCTATCTTCAAACGTTTCTCAAGAGATCGGTTCATGTTCTCTACTTCACCGTTAGCCTGGGCCTGGGCCTGCCCTTCGTGGGCAAGGTTAAGGATAACTCCTCGTAGTTTTCGTGGAATTACTAACCGGATGCCTCGAAGTAGGATATCACCGACTATAGACAGTTCCAGCCGAAACGGGAATACGGGCTTGACAAAATCGCTTTCCATGAGTCTTGATTAAGACACGTCATTGGATCCACCATCTCCTCATCTAAGACACTCATATCGCTGATATGAAGATGGATTTAGGTATGGATGTTGACAGTACGCGAGACATATGCTCCTCTCCAGCCCAGTCATAAGGTTCTGCATCAGTATGTTGGCACAGTCTTGACAACGAATCAGCAATATTTTCTTTTCCGGTTTTATAAATAACAGAATGTAACCTCAGCAACCACCTTTCAATTCTAGCCGTGGGTCGTGATGTTGGTTTAAAGATCGGCTTTAACGGCTTGTTATCGGTTATTAAGTCAAATTTCATACCAGCCAAATAAAAATGTTTTTCCACACCCCACACTAACGCAAAAGCCTGTTCGGTTTGCGAATATATCTTTTCTACCGGTGAAAGGCTCTTGCTGGCAAATGATATTATCCGTGGGTTGTTAGATTTGTCAAACTGTAATAATATAGCACCAAGAGCCACCGGACTAGCATCCGCAATTAAACAGGTTTTGTCTTTAGGGTTAAAGTATGAGAGTTTTGGTACTGCCGCAATTTTTTCTTGTAATACTTTAAATGCCTTATCCTGCTCTTTTCACCAAACAAATGGTTCATGACTCTTTAATAATTTCCTTAATGGCTTAGTAATGTCTTCCAAGTCAACCACAAATTTAGCCACGTATGTAGCTTGACCAAGAAAACTGCGAATTTCTTCTTTATTTTTGGGAGCTCTGAACTCAGTAATCACACTAACTTTTTCTGGGTCAACTTGGATCCCTTGATCGGACAAAATGTGGCCTAACTTCAAATATACGATTTTATAAGTTCTGTGCATGTCACTTGTCAATTGAGCCAGAGCCATAAATTACGATCTGTCTAAATATTATCACTTGAAATGTTTCCCACACTATACAAAGGACTTTTGCGGGGGTCAAAATATAGCTCTCCCGCTCAGGCCAAAACAGACGTGGTCTCTGCGTAGGCCATAGATAAGAATAGAATACGAATCACACCAATGTTACTTGCTAAGAATCTGATTGAAATAAAAGCAGTTTGAAATTATAACTCAGCAAATGTAGACGTCTTTTATTAGATCGTTCTTACATTTTTGGTCCTTCGAGACACTCTGCAGTTTTCCCCCATCAGTGGTAAGAGACTCAGAGTTATAAACCAGCTCCTTTAATTCTAAAGGTAGCAAAATAAAACATCTCTTGTTGCCCCCCTCCAGTGGTAAGGAACAGAGAATAATACATCAAGCAAAAAGATACAAAAGAATCTTTTTTGTATTTAATAAAGAGCACCTTAGAGTGTTGAAATAAAGCTAAAGGTTGCTATAATACCCATTTTGTTTAATCGTGGTAAGGCGTACTTGAGGCCTTTAACATCAGCTTATACGTTTTTTGTGAACGGAGAATTTAGTGTGCGATACGTAATCAATTAAAAATCGACTATGAGGCTCTTAAAAAAGAGACAGCCATAAAAAAAGAGCATAAACATCCCTTATTAGAGAAAAAATTAAGCAACTTAGGGAATATTTAAACGAAACATTCTAAGAAATACAAAGTGATCAAAAAGAAATTCTCAGAGAATACGAAAAAATAAGATTAATTTCCTCTGACAAAGCATTTCAGAGCTTAAAACGAAAATTAGGGCTTGTAGTGTAGAATTTGATTAAACCCTTAGCGAGGTGGAATTCGATATTCAAAATATTTCAACTGAAATCTATGAACAAATTAAGGGAAAAGTTGCAAGTAATTTGGAGGTGGTTGGTGAAATAGAAAATTTGCAAAGCCTGCCAAAAATTGAGGTGCCCACATTTGACGGTGACGCCAAAGAGTGGGACCTCTTTCAAGAATTGTATATAAAATTTCATCGACACCATTTATGAAGCGATACACATCCTAAAACTGAAGGTCAATCTGTCCGACAAAGTTAATGTGATATTTGCTCAAATGGTGCTCAAAAAATGTAAAACCTAAACTCTTCAACTGTATGAGAGTCACATTAAAAAAAAACAAAAGACATTCAGAAATTATTGGATGTTTTGGATTTTTTTGAGCAGCGGCTGTGTTCGACTTGCTCTGTAAAGGAAGAAAAGCCTATCAGAAAGTCTTCCGGTACACATAATAATTATAGCTTTCCCAGGCCAAATAGTTTTCCAAAGTGGAGTGAACGGTGCCCAATTTGCAAAATGATGGGACACACCGTAACTCAATGCCACAAATTTAAAGGGATAAATCCCGCAGAGCGATTGGATATCGTAAAAAAGGTACAATTATGCACAAGATGTTTAAAACATCATAGCGGGCAAAAATGTACAAGCGAATATTTGTGTTCGCTTTGTAATAAAACCCATCACACAATGCTGCACTTAAATACGCAAAACAGGGAAAAAGTCAACTCTTGTGTGACGGCAACTGAAGCATTTCTTGCAACAGCAAGAATCGAAGTAAAATCTGCCAATGGCGATTTTGAAAGCTTGAGAGCGCTGATTGATAGTGGATCCCAAAGCACTATCATATCAGAAGAGGCAGCGCAAATTCTAAAGCTGCCAAAAATAAAATCTAAAACTGAGATTATTGGGATATCTTCTGAAGGATACATATCCAAATATAAAATAAAAATGTTAATTAAAATCCCCTCATACGAAAAAGCCATTGACCACCGAGGCAATAATATTGCCAAAATTAATGAAAGCTCTTCCTATTAGAGAAATAAATGTAGATAAATCTAAATGGAAAAATTGTTCATTGACTGACCCGGACTTTAATAAGCCAGGCCGAGTTGATGTAATAATTGGAGCAGATTTATATACATGTCGGAGAGTATGTAGTGCAGCATTTCGACAGGTATGACCATGGGTTGTGCTGGTATACTAGATATACTAGATATTAGTTTTGGTAGAATGGGGACAAAGTTTGCGAGCTGAGGCCGAGTGTGGCTTCGTATGCGTTGCTAGGTCTGGTCTCTCTTCTTTTTCTGGTTTGTAGTGTGACGTGAGATAGACACGTGTTTTGGTCCTTAAGAGAGAATTATGAGCAACAAAGGCATTGAAGACTCGCTGCATTTGCCAGAATTAAGTTCAGGCAATCAAGAACCAAACGATCAATTCACCAGCAATGACGACTTACAAGGGGATGAATTTAGTTCTCCGACATCAGAAGTGGGATTCGGCCCTAACCAAACTTTGTCAAGGGATGTCTTCGTGTTGTTGGAGCAACAAAACCGGAATTTTCTGGAACTGGTTAAGAATCTACAGATGCCGGCGAGCACAGTACAACAGACTGGCGAGATTTGCTTGCCGAAATATAATTCGGACATTGCTGGGGTGGATGCAACGCAGTGGTGAGCTACGGTCAACATTATTTTACGAACGAAACCGTTAAGTGACAGCGCTCTTATATTAGCGCTGAGTAAGGCCTTGGAAGGCACAGCGGCCCAGTGGTTATCACAAATATGCTACCCAGGAATAACTTGGCAACAGTTCCGGCAATTGTTTGAGCAGCGTTTCGAGACTTCAGAGACGCCAGCCGCTGTTATTTTTAATCTTCTAAATAGTCGCCCAAGGAACGGTGAGAGCTTGCCTGTTCTTGCGAGCCGCAGCGTGACGTCACTGTGCACAAAATTGCGTAATTTAAATTGTGAACAAATTTCCATCGCTTTGATTCTTGGACATATGGCTAATTTCGACCGGCGTTTACAACGAATGATACACACAACGCATGTCAGCAATCGACGTGAGCTGCAAGCGGAGCTGCAAGTATTCTCTGCGCTGAAGGAGCGTCCTATTGCACCAAACTGGGAACCGGAGACCAAGCGGGCTAAAACAGCGGAACTAAAATGTTATCAGTGTGGAAAACCAGGACATAAAAAGCAAGACTGTAGATCTGGACTAGGATTTCAGTTTTCATCAACTGAAAAGGAGCGGCGTTCTGGGCAGCCTCATCATGGAAGGGCAAATGTAACTTGTTACAAATGCCAGGAGCCGGGGCACATTGCCACAAATTGTCCCAAAAAAGTGCAGAATACCGGATTGGGAGTAAGATCGGAAGAGAGTGGAGCTGTGCACTATGGTGGAGCCTAAATTGAGTATGCTGGTTAATGGTGAGAGATTTCCAATAACATTTGATCCGGAAGCTAAGTGTTCATTAATTAAAGAAAGTACAGTACTACAGTACTTCGAAAATCAAGATTTATATCATTGTTGATGGTAATTCTTTGGTAGTTTTGTTTCACATAGTACCAAATTGTGGAATCAAAAATAATATTGTCATTGGCAGACATATATTGGTTCAATGTTTTTGGTATAGTTTTTGTTTTTTTTTTTTTCATTTGACTGGTTGAATCAACTAAGACTGTTCAAAAGCGACCATATAGATTTGGTTCAAGTGAGAGGGCGCTAGTACGTGGCAAAAATAGAGAATTAATTGAGTATAAAGTTATCAGACCTAGTAAATCTCCATTTGTTATTTGTAAATATAAAATAAATTGTTCAGCAAAAATTTGAGTTGATTATCGGGAATTAAATAAAAATACAGTAGCTGATAAAATTTCATTACCTCTGATATCAGATAAAGTAGCTAGACTTTGGGGAGCAAATTGTTTCACTTCTCTTGTCATGTCTAGTGGATATCATTAGATTCCAGTGCACTCGAAACAATTAAATACTGCTTTTGTTACACCTGATCGGAAGAACGAATTTCTATCGATGCCATTTAGATTAAAGAATGCTTTCTCTGTGTTTCAAAGAACGGTTGGAAATTGTTATAGAAATTGTTGTGAAAGATGAATTTTTATTTAACATTTCAAAATGTTTCTTTCTGAAAACCAATAGTTCGGTACATTGGTTATGAGGTTAACGCGGCGAAAAATTAAAGCAACATCGAAATCAATCGCTACATTACGACAACTCATCGGTTTGATGTCGTATTTTCGCAAATTTCCGAGGATTTTGCACAATTTTTGAACCCTTTGTATTTTCTCACATTTGAAAATAATAGCTTGTTTTGGAGTGTATAGCACTAAGAAATTAGCAAAAGAATAATCACTGTATTAACGAACAAGCCAGTGTTGATTATTTTCAGTGTTGAGACAGGTACCATTTTTTTTTTTACCTAGGTAAGGGAAAAGGTAGTTGCAAATATTTGTACCTAGGTAAAGTAAAAGGTATGCAATTTCTTCTGTACCAAGGTAAAGGTAAAAGGTAAAAAATACAACTTAAAAATTTTTTAAATTTGAAATTTTTATTATCAGTTTCTTTTTCTGAGATACAAAGATATAAACATAAGTCACATTGGTTTCTTTTTTTGAGATCACCGGAAATTTTCACTTCTATTTTTGAATTTTTCGCTTTCAAAGCTTCGTACGAAGAATAACTGTTCGGGTGAACCCTCTGAAAAAAAGTTTCATAATGTTTTAATGTCTTCATTATACTTCTTTAATTTAAACATTATTATGTGCTTAGTCATACATATATTTATAAAAATGTGGTTTAATAAAAAAAAATAGTTTTACATTTTTTGGTGGAAAATAAAAAATAAAAATAAAGAATGACCACCCCATCAATGTCCATAAAATTATGACCATATGTATGTACTTATGTATCCGTCAATTTCTTATTAAAATGCACTTTTAGATTATTTAAACTTATGGAAAATAATTTTCGCGCGAAAAAATGCATGTGCATAGATATGCACATTTACATTTAAACATACACTCCAATAAGCACATATTCATACATATATGATGCATACATAAATATGTGCTTGTTCACATACTCAAATAATTCGAAGGTGCATTAAAAAAAATTGCGGGAATCGTGCTGCTTCATGCTATGATTGTTTAAATGTTTTAATGAAATAGGCACAATCTATACATAAATACATACATATGGTCATATTCACATTGATGACTGCACCACATAAATGTATGAATAAGCACATATGTATGTATATACATATGTTTAAAAGCACATGTGCATGTCTACGCACATGCATTTTTTCGCGCGAAAATTAATTTATCAATTCACTTCACAGTTCACTTACCTTCAGATGTTTATGCAAGTTGCCGGTTGACTTTTCATCAAATTTGATAGTTTTGTTCACACACAGTTTGCACTTCCCGTCCGGTAAAAAGAAAGTAGCATTTAAAATTAATGGTAGCTCCTTTTTTTCTGCGTCTTCTTTGCTCATTTTAAGATTTGTTGTGACGTTTTCTAGGAACCAATGTCATCGACAAAAGTGCACTGTTTAGGTAGCAACGGCATTGCTAATTTAGTATTATACCAAATTCCAACGGAAAATATTTTTGCATTCTTACCATAAAGACCTCTGTGAGTAAGTGGTGGAACTATCATATTTCTAAGTTTTCGATTGCATTGCTGTGAAGCAGGGCTATTTCTAATATGCACAATATTTACATACACGTATGGAAGTACCTAAATACCTTACATAGCTAAAACTTAAGGTAAACGAAAATTCGTACCTAGGTAAGGTAAAAGGTAGCCAAATATTTTTTTACCTAGGTAAAGTAAAAGATACCGAAAAAAATTACCTAGGTACATACCTAGGTACAAGTACCTAGATACACCCCAACACTGATTATTTTTGATCCTTAGTTTCCAATTGATGCTTTTACTAAGTTTGCTTATTTGTTTTGCACCTTCTCTATTGATGCTTATACTTGTATTAACCCACTGAAATCTACGATAGTCATTTAAGGTGTGACAACACATCTAATTGCCGATCAGCAGCGAAGCTTGACTGGTTCAAAGTTTATGCAATTTTGTTCTTATCAATAGATAGATCTACATTTAATTGCCATAGGTGTAAGTCGAGTCAACGGTCAAGTTGAAAGGGTTATGAGAACCCTTAAGAATCTGTTGACGGCTGTTGAGACAAGCTCTATGTCGTGGCAAGAAGCACTAGTGGAGGTACAGCTGGCCCTTCATTTCGCAGTGAACCGTAGTACTAAATGTAGTCCATTAGAACTTTTGATTGGTGAAAATGCTATGCCTCTGGGGCTAATCCTATAAGCGATACTGAAACTGTAATTGACAAGATATAAGAAAACAAATTTTGACGAAAGCAGGGCTAAGGTAATTAGATTCAGTGTGGGTTACTTTGTGCTCGAAAACAGTGTGAAACAGTAAACGAAATCGGATCCAAAGTTTAGAGGTTCTTTCGTTGAGTCATTGAAGGGAGACAGTATGTTGAAAAAAAAAAAAAAAAAAAACACGAAAGTTTGAGAAAGTTACAGGATGTGTAAATTTCAGAGAGCCTGATGCAAATTTTAAAGAACAAAGTCTGTTAGAAAAGTCTTTTGAAACAGAAGAGTGTCGTGAAGCCATGTGATTGGCGATGATCGAAAGTTGCTTTAGAAATGAGGTTAAAGTATTGGGCGATGAACGAGCGATGTGGTTGATGAATTCGTGAAGCCAAGTATTGGGCGATGAACGAGCGATGTGGTTGATGAATTCGTGAAGCCAAGTATTGGGCGATGAACGAGCGATGTGGTTGATGAATTCGTGAAGCCAAGTATTGGGCGATGGACGAGCGATGTGGTTGAAGAATTCGAGAAGCTTAGTGTTGGGCGATGGACGAGCTGAGAGCATAATAAAAAGCGTGAGCCAATGTGTTTGGCGATTGATGAATATTCCAAAGTTGGCTAGTATAAGACAAGATATGTTTCATGGATTATGACTTAATGATTTGTAATGATTAATTTATAATTTGATAATGTTTAAATGATCTTTTGACTGGAAATGTAAATGAAAGAAATGGTTTATAAGAAAACGTAATGATTTGAAATATTCTATGAAATTGAGATTACTTGGTTAAGTTTTTCTGAAGTAGTCAATAGTATTATAATGTTGGAATGAAACTAAGAGGTTTATTGTAGTATTGTAATTATTGTAGACACGAGGACGTGTCTATGTCAGAGTGGCCGTATCGGAGAGTATGTAGTGCAGCATTTCGACAGGTATGACCATGGGTTGTGCTGGTATACTAGATATACTAGATATTAGTTTTGGTAGAATGGGGACTCAGTTTGCGAGCTGAGGCCGAGTGTGGCTTCGTATGCGTTGCTAGGTCTGGTCTCTCTTCTTTTTCTGGTTTGTAGTGTGACGTAAGATAGACACGTGTTTTGGTCCTTAAGAGAGAATTATGAGCAACAAAGCCATCGCAGACTCGCTGCATTTGCCAGAATTAAGTTCAGGCAATCAAGAACCAAACGATCAATTCACCAGCAATGACGACTTACAAGGGGATGAATTTAGTTCTCCGACATACACATATCTTAAAGAAAGGTATGGCAAAAATTAATGGCCTGTTAGGTCAAGTTACTCATTTCGGGTGTATTGCTTCTGGGTGTACTAAGTCTAAGGGTACTCACTCAACAGTTGCAACTACTATTGAATAACAATATTTAAAACGATTCTGGGAATTGGAAAATGAGGATAAAAATAATATTGAAACCGAAATTTGTGAAAATAATTTTATTAAAACCACCACAATTAATTTAAGTGGGAGGTATATTGTCAGGATTCCATTTAAAGACGATACATCCTTAGGGGACTCCAAACCACAGGCAATGGCACGGCTAATAAATATGGAGAAAAAATTCCAGCGGAATGAGAAACTTAGAGATTCCTTTAAATGATTTATAAAAGAATATATTGATCTTGGACATATGGTTGAGTCGAAGAAGGAGGGAAAATATTACCTACCTCACGAAGCCGTAGTTAGGGACTCAAGTCTAACTACAAAATTAAGAGTAGTGTTTCACGCTTCGGCCAAAACTACTAACCACAAAAGTCTTAATGACATAATGTGGGTTGGACCTAGAGTCCAAAAAGAAATTTTTGAGATAATTTTAAATTGGCGTAAATGGGAATACGTTATATCTGTAGACATAGAAAAAATTATTGATGACAAAGGTCAAGAATATCAATATATATTATGGAGAGATTCTCCTGAAGATAAGATAAAGTCCTATAAATTAAAAACAGTAACCTACGGTACTGCATCTGCTCCATATTTGGCTACTAGAGTTCTGGTAGATATAGCAGATAAGTGTAAAAATAAAGAAATTGGTAATATAATTAGAAATGACTTCTACATGGATGATCTCATGACAGGATCCGATTCAGTGGAAAACGCCATTAATATTATAGAGCAAATTTCCAGCGAGCTTAATAAAGTTAACCTGAATTTAAGGAAATGGATTTCTAACACACCAGAAATATTAAAAGTTGTAGAGGATACAGATGATAACAAGTTAATAACTATTGTCAAAACATTGGGACCTCAATGGGAACCCCAAAAAGACAACTTTAAATTTAACGTTAATTTAGGAATTTCTAAAAAAGAAAAAAGGCGATCAGTTCTTTCCACACTATCGAAAATTTACGACCCATTAACCAGTAACCATTACAGGGAAGCTATTTGTGCAAAAACTTTGGATTTCTGAAAATAGCTGGGATCAGGAATCATCAAATGATGATGCCCAGGAATGGTCGGATAATAAAGAAAAACTTTTATTATTCGAGAAAATCCAGATACCGAGATGGATTCAAAGCAAATTGAATTCGTTTATTGAATTGCACGGGTTACAATAGTAGCCAGCAAAAGCAGAGTAAATCCCATTAAAAATAGGAAAACAATTCCGAAACTAGAGCTGTGTGCAGTTCATCTATTGAGTAAATTAATAAACAAAATTAAAGAATCAATTAATAATGCTGCAAAAATATACGCATGGAGTGGTCAAAGCAAAATCAAATTTATTAAACATAGGACAGATGAAATTCGAAGATATACCGATGTAGAATGGAATCACGTTAAATCAGAAGATATTCCAGCAGATGCGGCGTCTTCTGGTGAATTAATAAATTTTGGACTTTGGTGGAATGGGCCAAATTGATTAAAAGAATCAAAAGAAAATTGGCCGACTCACTCAATTGCAGCAGAAGAAATAAGTGTTCATGCAGTGTTGACTTCTGAGGATGATATTATCCAAAATTTATTTGGAAAATATTCATGCATGCACAAGTTAACAAGAATAATTTGCTACATAGTTCGGTTTATTAATATTAAAACCAAAAATTCAACTTATCCGTGTTACTTAACGGCTAAGGAGATAAAGTATGCAGAACTATTAATAGTAAAAAAAGGAGCAGAAATATCAATTTAGTGCAGAGTTCCACAGTTTATATAATAATAAAGAAATACAAATCAATTCAAAAATTTTAAGCCTGCATCCATTTCTTGATCATTATAATATTATAACTTTGCTGTTTTTTAATTTTTTTTTAGTTCTTCGACATATAGCAATGTTCAATTATTTCAGAATTATGCTTTAAATTTTATCAAAATCGGACGACTATATCATATAGCTCCCATAGAAATAATAAAAATATATAAAATAACTATCAAATAATTGAGCTGCAAATCATCATAGCTTCAATGTTTTTAAACATATACGCAAGTAAATCATAATTTTAATGTGTTCAGGCCACGAAGGAGCACCCGGTATTCCCGGCTTTCCGCTCTCCCCATCTGCTCTCCGCTCTCACGCAGCTTCCCTTTTCCCCACCACGAAGTCTCCATGAAGTCTCCACTGCGCTCTGAAGAAAATTAGAATAAGTTAGAATAGTCAGTTCGATTTACATAGTGAATAAAAGTGGTTGCGCCCACCCCCTACCATCGAAACACCTTCGACTCGTCATTTCAACTACAGGACCTGTGCACCTTTCAGGACCCTCCATAGGACTCGGCCACCCCTCTCCGTTCATTTTTGGTCCTTCGAGCCGGATAAACCCTTCCTTTTGTAGGCGTTTTCCATTAACCAGGTTTTCTTAAATTTTTGTTGTGTCGCCGGATAAACCCTTCCTTTTGTAGGCATATTACATATTTTTCTCTGAGCGAAAAGTTGCATTTTACATTCACATTTAAATACATTCTACAGTCCACTTATCTCCAAAACAAACAAAAAATCACAATTACAAACAATACACATACCCGCCGGCAAGAAATATTAACTATTTTTCACCTCTCCTGGTAAAAAAAAATTACATGCAACCATACATTTACATTTTTCCCGTCGGCGCTTCAAATAAAATACAAAATTGTCTAATCGCATTTTTTACTTACATATTACTCTCTGATCTACTTACATTTTATTCTCTGAGCGAAAATACATATTTACAGAGGCTTCATACTTACATATTTTTTTTGTGAGCGAGTATACACTTACAGATGCTTCATACTTACATATTTTTTCTCTGAGCGAGCGTACATATTTACAGAGGCTTCATACTTACATATTTTTCTCTGAGCGAAAATACATATTTTACAGTGCAGCCTCTTACATATGGTTATTTGACCAAAATACATATATGAACATTTGATTTCAGCTATTCATGGGCGGAGGTGCAGGAAGGAACAGGGGGCTCATGCACAAAATCAATATTTGTTTTTTTTCTCGTCTGGTTAATTGAAAAATTTCCA